ATAGTGGAACTAAGATTGGAATCAAATGAAAATTGCAATGTAATTCGCAATACAATTTGGAACTTAATAAGAAAAAATAGTAATTATTTATAATTTTTCTTGATTTTTTTGTAGGGATACAATGAAATTAATAATCGATAAAAGATCAAAAATTAAATATAACAATTCGTTAAAATAAGTAAAAAAGAAAAAAAACGAAGAAATAATCTCTCGGCATCAAAATAATAAAATGGAAAAGTCAAAATAAAAAAAAACAAAACTATATAATAAATTTGATTAAATTTTAATCAATTTTACGCAATTTTCAACAATTTTCTCTTTTAAAATTATTTGCTTACACATTTACCTTTACCAGAAGAATCTCGTTCGGCTTGGATCCTTTTACAGTTACATACATAATTCCTTCTTCTTCTGAAGGATTATTCATATTCAAGAGACTGTTCGTATCTAACTTCTGTACTTTATGCTTCTCTACTATACTTTGAATCTCATCTTCCCCTCCATTATTCGATATCATTGGTATTAATTTTCTTTTCAAGATATTCGGTTGCCACATTCCCTCTCTTTGACTTTCACCCTCTGAAGTCTGGGAGACTTCAGATTTCACAGAAATTCCTTCATTTCCTTCCACTCTCACATAAGAATCTGCTGCCATATCATACTTGTAAACAGTTTTTAGGGATTTTTCTTCTTCCTCTTCTTCATCTACCAGGAGCGCAGGGTCTTCAGGATCAAATTCCTCAATAGATTCTTCATCTTCTCCTTCTGCTACTTCCTCGAATATCCCTCCTCCTACTTGTATCACCTCTTTCTCCTCGGTGTCCTTTTCTTCTTCTTCTTCTTCTTCTTCTTCTTCTTCTACCTTTTCCTTCTCCGTTTCTTTCTCAATTTCAAAGTCCTGTCTTATTTTTGATTCATTCAATGAAAAAATGGCACAGATTTTGGGAACTGAATCATCTATTTGATTTTCAGAAATTGCTTGGTTTACATGCTCTATTGACGATAAAGATGGATTTTGTTGAATTGCGGAGGGTAATTGATATTCTGATTTTGTTTCTGGAAAGAAAGAATTTTCCTTATTTTCACAATATATCATCACATTTTTTTTTCTTTTGTTAAATAAGTGTTGCAATTTACTATTATGTTCCAGAAATGAGATTTTCAAGTTATCAAAAATTTTAAACTCCTTTACGATACGTAACAAATAATATATCGAGAGATACTTTTGGTAATCACGCTTTCTTGGAATTATAAATTCTTTGACCGATTTTGATTTTTCTAACAGTATGAGCATATCTAGCAATTTTCAGTTAGAAACAATGAAAAATTAAAATAATTTCTGAGAACAAATTTTTGAAAAGCTTTAAAGCTGCCGATGGATAATAAATTCTTCACATAATTTTAAATAGACATTACTTACAAGTTTTTATTTAAAATCTTGTTATAATAAAATCTAAATAAAAATATTAAAAATCATAAGCTAGATAATGTTCTTTCAAAGATTTTACAATCTATATGTAACGTACAATTATTTACTGTAAATTGAAAAATGTTAAAGAGACATAAAAAATATAAAGAAGAATACCTGAATAGAATGGTTGATTATCCTCTTTTATTATTAAAGAGTCATCGATCGATGTTACCTTTTTCGTAGCATTATCAGTCGTGAGATTGACATGGATAGATTTTAGTTTTATCTCAGCTTTTTTTATCTGCATGAAAAATTTATAACTCATTCTAAGGTCACAGATACAGTCCATGCACATTTGCGTGGACAGGCTACTATCATAAGGATTAACTTCGAGATGCTTGATTTGTTGACTCAATCTCAATTTGATACCCTTTTCACTAAAGATGTCCACCTACAACATGAATTAGTCGTGAAAGTAGCTATAGCTATATGACATAATCAATATAATATCCAAATGTAAATAATAATCATAATATACAATGTTTATACCAAAGGTAGTTTTAGGCCAGCGCAGGTACGGCAGTATTTTCTTAATTCTTGCCGTGTCCTTTCGAGTACGGATGTATCATTTTGCTGCGACTTGCTGTTATTTAAAGATGAAATCCTTGTCAACTCATTTAAGCTCTCGGTGTCCTGTAAACGGACACGAGGCGCAATCTTCTTCAGCTCATCTATGTCTCGAATTTGACCCACAACGGATCCTGTCTGAGATATTTTGCTAATGGTATTACCAGTACCATTGTTGGCATGAGGTTTCGATTCACTGTAGTTGTGATCACGCTTGTTGATTTCGGAATTTGACATTTTCTCCTTTTTTTTCCTTCTTCACTTATACTAGAATCACTTATACTTGCTCTTCAGCACATGATAAATTTTAACTTGATATTTCTTATTTTTGTAAGATAGATTATGTAAAATGTATATCTTCATTTATTCCTGGGATATTTTTAATAAGAAAATTTTAAATAATAAACAAAATGTAATAAAAATAAAAGATCTTATATTTATTTAAAAAATTTTTATAACACAAAATAAAATACCTTAATCATTGAATTGAGTGCTAATCATAGTATTGCTGAACATTCTGTAGTTTTTGCTTGTTATGTAGTTTCTGCTACATAATCACTTTTTCTTTTGCATTTATATTACAACTTCGAAACAATTGAGTTTTAATATCGCTAACGCTACAGTGAACGTTTCGTTTTTAAGATCAATTGCATAAATTTGTGTACTTTTATATTGACTACTATAACGAGTAAATATAGAAAACTAGAAAATAGAGATTAAAAAGTTTGTATTTCCCTGGAACTTTTCACAAAATCGCCAAGATGTTCTTCGATCAATCGCGACATCGAATCTCTCTCTCTCTCTCTCTCTCTCTCTGTGTTCTTTCCTTCCTTCTCTTTCTTTACTAAAATAAAAAATATATATATACATCAAAATAGTATTGTATTTTAAAATTCTGCATTTATTTCATATCGAGCAATATTATCAGTCGAAAGTGTGTGTGTGTTTGTGTATAATGACTATTAATTCTGAAATCAATTCAGTATCCCATAAAAAAAACTTGATTCTAAACTGAATCAAACCAAGAACCGTATTCAGGATAGATAGAGACTCGGTTATAACGCAGAATAAGTTTGAACCTTGAAGCTACCGAAAACAGAGACGTACTTTCAAAAACCGTAGTAGCTCAATACAATACCGACGATAATGATCCCGTCTCCGACGAGAGGAAACTCTAAATTCGCACTAGACTCTGGTATATTCGATACTTGGCCGTGAGTGCCAGATGGCGCGTGCAAATGGCGGCTTTCCCACGAAAATGCTTGGAAACACCACGAAATAATGCGTCGACGCATTTAACTGAGCGAGCCATCTAGATTAGAGGCCTCTAATGGCTCCCGCACACTGGGCGCGGCAACGCTTACAGGAAGTTGTTGCGATAACCAATCATTCTTTTGCTTTTATGGAAAAGTAGTAAATTGATTGGCTACCGTACAATTTCTGTCGTGTGGCAAGCGTGCTGTGTGCAGGATCTATAATAAAGCTGACTTTTCATGCGCAACGGTAAAATATCAAAACAATAGAAATAGAATAGAAATAGAATATAGAATATAGAAATATACACAACAGAATATATATTGTAGGGAATAATTCAATAATTTTGATTGAAATTCATTCCGACTTGTTCCGTGATAGGTTGTAGGATTAGTTCCGGTGTTCATAGTCGATTCTTACATTTAAAATTGTCTTAAGTACAATCTTAAGATATCATAAGCCAATCAGGGAGCCGTACTAGCATCTTAAGACCTTACTTAAGATCTTAAAATAAAAACCGGCCTTAGAAGTAGAGATTCAGATTCACGCGCAACAATTTTCAGATGCTTGACGTTCGATGCTTGCTTGCAATGGCACTTTAAACCCGATTTATAATAGTTTTTTAAACCTTAAGCTATAAAAAAGGGATGAATCATATTGGTATTCAGGGCTGCATTCCAAAACTTTCTCTCCAAGGAAAATTTTATTCGAAATATATAGTACACGTGACGTATACTATAGCATATAGAGTAAAATCTTCCTCAGAGAGGAAATTTTGGAATGCAGCCCAGGGGATTGATTTTGTATTTTGAAACGAGGTGAAAATTACAAAAGTGAACGAATTTACTAGAATACTGATAATTTCATTGGTCAATACCTAGTAAATTTGCTCACTTTGTAATTTTCACCTTGTTTCAAGATACAGAATTGATCATCAGGTAGTTGATTTTTAGGGCGTAATTTGCTCACTTTTATAATTTTTACCTTCTTTGAAGATACAGAATCGACCCCCTGCTTTTCCGTCAAGGTGTGAATATGCCCTAAGGCCTGAGTAGGCTTTCTCCTGTAAAATGATCAGATGAACTAAAACCTAACCTTGCCTAACGCGTAAGACGAATGATTTTGAAGCAATTTGAAATATCGAGTAATTTCAAGTAATTCGCAATAATCTATTGAGGTGGATAATGATAGATTTATTTGATTAAAAAAGATTAAAATTTTCGAAGAGTTGAACTTCGTAATATGTCGAATGAATTTGTACATTCTGTTAAGGTCCCGCGTATCTATAGAATCACGTCCAATATTGTTCGCCGCGTGCGAGAAGATGGTGCTAGCCTAAAAACGTTGATTTACGAAAAGAAGCATCCTGTAAGTGTAAAACATATAATTGTAAGAAGAATAAAAGATCAATTGAAAAAGATCTGATCTTCCGTTAATTATGCTGCTTATAATTACGTTATAAGAATGTAATTTGTCGTGTACGATTCAGAATGTGGCCGGCATATACGGCCTCGCGGTCAACACCTTACAAGCGTTACCTCAGTTAGACCAGCTGTTTGACAAGACCCAAATTCTAACGGAACAATCGCGTCTGAATCCCTGGTTAGCCAGAGTTCTCATAACGGAGCTTTTATGGCGCAAGAGATGCTTGAAGAACCGCTCCAAGCCAATCCTAACTGTCCTAGCTTACGAAAACAAACTACGGGAAGAGTCAATAAACCTCGGCTACATAGAAACTTTCATCGATCATAAAGACAAAGGTAATTATCTTTAATAATCACCGCATGCTTGCATTTTTACAGAATTTCGATCTCCGGAGATTCGTCCTAGTGCAGTAAAGATATTCTCCTTCATGGTCCTGATTATTCGCAACTGCAGAATATTATCCAGTCGACAGAACAAACAAGTTAAAATTGGAGATCTGCAAGATTATCAAAACAGACCCTGTCATCAGGAATCGATTTGTGACAAAAAGAACAACTGTGAGATGGGTCCAGCAGCAGTACTGGGAACATTGTTCCTCTATAGCATTGCCATGTTCACTTTACCATTTGCTGTTTTCTTTATGATACAACGTTTTATGATATTAGAATTCCAAACTGATACTGCTGTGACTAATTACATTTCTGTACTGGCCGCTGTAATCACAGTGAACTTGATTATCTCCTGTTATGTTTATCAGGCTTTAAATGAGGCTGTTGAGAAGGACCAATGTGAAGACGAAATTAGAGTAGAAACTAAAGAGAGTTTAAATAAGAAAGATGATTAAAATAGTTCTTTCCAAAAAAAAAAGAATTTGTAAAAAAAATTGTGAAATATCAAATATTTTTTATATTATTTAATTAAAAAACGAGCACCCTTTGTTACTTAATTAAAGGATGTATATGTAATTGATATGTCTATATGCATAATGGAGAAAAAAAAAGTTTACTAAAAAAATGTAAATATATAATATATATAAATAAAAATTATATAATGATGAATAATCTTTATTGTAATAAAGTAGCAACAAATGATACTTTATTTTTAAAATATTGTAAATTGACCTATAAATCCCTTTCAAAAGATGATATCTGCTATGTTCTATACATGAGAAATAAGAAATTCTTATCATTATTCCATAAAATCTCGCTTATTTAGATATTACTTTAAATTTGTATACTTTTGCTTGAGAATATTGCGCTACTTCTGGTTTTATATGCTGGAAAATATTGATAAGTGCATCTACTTTATATGGCATAAAAATATAAAAAGTGGGATAAGATATTTTAAGTACACGATTAAGATCAAACTAAAATTTTAATGTAAATTAGATGAAATTTAAATTAGATGAAACAATTTTAATGAAAAAGAAATGCAGGTACATTTACAGATATAGAAAAAAAAGAAAATTTCGCTTAATAAATATGCGTATTTTTTTTTATATTAAAAAATTAAACTTTTTTCATTAGATCAGATTTTTTTCTCCTTTTTTCTTTTAAAATTATATGCATACTTATCGTGTATGCATGAATGTGTGTGTGTGTGTGTGTGTGTGTGTGTGTGTGTGTGTGCATAAAATAAAAAAAATATATAATGTATTTAATTTAATTATATAATGTATTTAATAGATTCTTAAAAAAAATTTGATTGTTTTTCTTTTCTCTTTTCAGTAAAAAAACCTAGATACGTTCGCGTCAATACTCTTCTATTATCAGTGGAAGAGGCAATCTCCTTTTTCCAACAGGATGGATGGCAATTATTACCCAAAAGTACAACATATTCTTCATATCTACAATCCTTGTCGCAATTATCAAAGCCATATTTTATACAAGATCTGCATATATCAGAAATGTTAGTTTTTCCGCCCTCGACAATCTTTCATCATCACAGCGGCTATCGCGATGGCAAGCTTCTTCTTCAAGATAAGGTATAAATAATAGAATTTTTTCTATCTGTACTGATAATATTTTCTTTGTAACTTGTACGATTTTTTTTTTTTTTTTTATTTTAGTATTATCAAATATTTATTACTTAATTAATAGCCTTCTAAAAATGTATATGTGGGACAGTTTTTATAATTATTTAATATAAGTTTACATTTTCTCAACTTTTACCAAATTTTTTTAGTAGACTAAGTATTATTAATACTAATGTATCTATTACTAGTACATAATTTATAATTAGCATAATTAAGATTTAATTA